TGAACATATCCACCATCCTTAGGACTACAAAAAGCACCATCACCAACCAAAGGGATTGTTCTGCCTCAGAATTACATACTATCCATGATGCTGCTTATGTTTACGACTTTCGGGAAAAAAAATTGGCCTATCAGATATAGATTTTGATAATTAATTAAAAAAATTGTACCTGACCAAAAAGCTAATGCTTCTCCAAATTTTTTTGAGAAGATAGAAAAGGGGCTGCAACTTTGCAGTAGATTAACCACAATGATGTAACCTGGAGGAAAGGAATGTAAACATGTATCATTAGTATGCATATGCAGTAAAGAAAATAACTTGGAAAATTTTTCAGAAATTGAAAAGAAAAACAAAATAACTCAAGATGTTAGCCAAAGAACTTATTAAAAAAACAAAAAAAACCTACAGTATTTTAAAAAACAAGATATGGTTTTCTATTTTGATAGCATCTTGTACATCTCAACATATCAGCATCCTTTAAATTCTGCCGGCTTGTGATAGGTTTTATTTTAATTTTCATTAATCAAGGTTCATACTATAAAATGAATGCAATCAAAGAGGAAGAGATATAAACGTTCAGAAACAAATGGATAACAAAATGAACCTGGTTTGGATGGCCTTTTCAATGTCTAGAAGGCAGTCAAAATGGGAAAAGATACATAGCAAACTTCACCAAACTGGTCTTAGAGATGGATGTACATGTATACTAGGTGGTATCGTTAGGTTACTGCTTTTCCTGAGATTTCATAGATAAATCTTAGTGAGTTTTTGAGAATTAGAAGATAAAGCACAGATATGCAACCAAGAATTCTAAGTAAAAATAACCAACTAAAATGCTAATCCTCCATTTTAAGAAAAGGAAAATAAAATGTAGAAAATACACTTAGATTTTAGGCCAAACCCACTAGGTTGCCCCCAAACTTGTAAGATTTAAGGATTTTTGCACCTCGACTGTAACATTGAGGGGCAAAAACCCTTAACACTTCCAAGTTCAGGGGCAACAGTTGGGGTTTGGCTTGGATTCTAATCCTTTCCAAGAAGGAGAGCACAATTCAAAGCAATGTTTATGCCTTAAGCTAAAGCTAGACAAATAAGTCAATGAAGTAACCAAGTATACCACAGCAACCCATATGAAAAGGCATAAAAAGCTGAAGTGCTAAAGAAT